TCTAATAGTAATACTTGAAAGTGAATCTTGAGGTCTACTACCAAATTACCTAATTCCATATTATGGACACGTTCATTGAAGTTTGAGGATATTGGTAAATATTAGTGGCCCTATTAAATGGCACGATGAGGTAAAATTTGTCACACTATGAACCTATATATAATAAACCCTTCATGGTTAGGATAATCGTCTCATCCTCTAGGCAAACTTTTTCACATAACGATATCTTTATCAGATGATAAGATACAACCAGATACAACCAGAAATAGGAACTAAATACACAATCCTTGCCGGTTGCCCTTACCCTAGCCCATTTTTTATTTAAAAAAATGAATATTGTTGTCGTCATCATGTCATATCGATTTGTCTGAAACCTTTTATACGGATTAACCGTGAGTTTTAGTTGAGAGGTCCATTCGATAGCAGCAACCCTTTCTACCTCTAGCATCAGCGTCTCTGCCTCCTTTACAGTATCTGCTATCAGAGCAATGTCATCTGCAAAACCAGTGTCTGATATCTTCTCCGCCTTAACTCTCCTACTCCTATAAGGCTTAATGGTAAATCCTATTGCAGGGTGCTTGCTTAAGGCTTGTCTCATGCAATAGTCAAGGGCTATAATGAACAAGTGGTTGTGCAGTTATCCGCTTATTGGTAGGAATGGGGAACAAGACTTCCTTGACAATATCATGAGGACTCCATTGCCAGTTGCCATGGACAGTTGCCATGGTCCATGGACCCTTACAATTCTGACTTCCTTACAACCATGAACCAACACGTTTTGAGACGCGACGCACACCAATTCAATTTGTCCAATTGAGAGCTTCTTGGAAGTGAATTAGATTATAGCTCGGTGAAACAAATTCCGGCCAAGCTGTCCTACTGTCGTGGTGCAACTTAAATTGATTTTAAAATGTAATATATTTGTATACATTTAAAATACTCGCTGGCACGACAAAGGGGAAGGATTTCATAGCTTACCTTTGCAGTTCCGATTCATAGGAATATATTGTTTCGAACCCACCATCAATCATAAAATAATTGAATTTCAAAACACACTGCACTATGAATATTGATCAGACGAGATTTCTGAGCTCAACCTGGAAAACACTATTCTCCTTCTGAGAGCGGACGAGAACAAAGGACACCAAAATCATAGACTAATAAAAGATACATTTTTTAAATAATAGACAAATTATTTAAAATTCGTACTAGACTGTTCGTCGAGCATTAGTTAACAGCGTGGGAATCGGGCGGGGTCCGCACGTGGGAACAGTAACCCTAGAAAACTACTGCAAATCTTGGAGCAATAACCACTCAGATAATAGAATTGAGAAAGAACATTACTGTTGATAGCTGTCATCTTCTCACACAGAGACACATTTTATTAATCAAGACTGTGCCACAATAGACAGTCATCTAATTTCAGATGTCAAAATTTGAAAATTCGAATATTTTAGACCACGCCCATTCAATATTAAAACAATTATATTGTTTTCTCTGAATATGCTGATTGCTGGACGCCTAATTTTTTTCAGAGACGGTAAATTATTAAATGTTGCATCTGATAAAATGATGTGAAACGGATTAGAAATGACGAAGTAATCAAGCATTTTATGCATCTCGTTAGCAAAATTGATTGGGTGTGACACCGTGACACGACAGCCATAACGATTCACATGATGTTTAACGAGGTCACCTTATCACCTTATCACCTGATTAGGTAAGCCAATCACCTGATCACACGTAATGAATAAACTCGTTATGCTTCGTATCTCGGTCATCTGAGAAGTTACAACTCTAATTATTTCAGGACAAACGTAATTCGAATGGCCAAACACAATTCAATAAAATTTAGCTCGATCCTACTATCCAAAGTATCAAATAAATGCGAAAATGAACCTTCATTTGAACAAAATGAACAAGAATATTTTTCGAGTTGATTCCTCGAACCACTGAACCAGTGGTGGTACTGAGTCATACCAGAAAGAATTATTTCAATTGGACAATCAGTGACTGAGCTATAAAGGCCAACGTATGGGTACTGACTTTTGGCCCACCCTGTATATAAGCTATTTTTAGAACCAAAAGTACGTGAGCTAAAAAATTATGAGCAATTTTTTCATTAATATTTTATTATTAATGCAAGCTATTAGTTTCGGGATAGCCTGTAGCAGGCAACGCCCGATACTAATGCTTCTACAGACCTACACAAGTGCAAGTAGAGCGGGTAAATATGTCATGCTAGGCATGAGTTCACAAGGCCATGAGATAGCAAAATAAGTTAAATGGGTTATTGTGCATTAAATATTCCATGCTTAAAGCATGAGTAGTACCCGCTTTTTGAAAACCATTTTCTATTAGACCACATCGGTCCTGTATTGCAGTGTATCAAACTTTTACAGATGTGGAGGTAGTAACTCCGAATAAGTGAACGAGGAAGCCGAAGATCAAGAAAGTGATTATTTTTTTTAAATCTTAAACTTTTCGAACAATACATAATTATACAGAATTGAAGGCTTCTAAATAAACCCAGTTTTAAAAGGAGAAAACCGATATAGCCCTAAATTCCACTATCCCAGTATGAAACCCAAATTATGTATTGAAAGAGGGGTAACCAAAACACAGTAGTGTGCAGTAAGAAATACCACACCCGCAATAACATTGGGCCCTAGCAACAAATTAATTAATCAATGAATTAAAACATATAATATTGTACTTATAGAAAATATATCACTCTAAAGGCTCCTTCTCCGAGCTAATGACTCTAAAGTTCCTGATAACATGAACTTTGTCAGGCTCTGCTGTCCTTTTATTTATCAGTTGGTCGACAACTTTCTTGTAGGCCATTCTGTCTGCAGCTGATCTATCAGGAGTGATGTAAACTGAACTAAACCCGTCTTCATGTCTTAGTAGCTTAGTCTTGCTCAAGATGGTACGAGCTTGATCTGAGCTTGACAAAATGAATTTCACTGGCCTGACTCGTTCACTTGTGTCCTTTCCAACTCGTTTACATCTCACAATTTTCGGTTTTTCGTTGAGATGGTCCAAAAAAATACCAGATACCTTAGCATCCAGGTTTTCCTCCGTCTCTGGAAGCCCAAAGATAATCAGGCTTTTACTTCGATCATCTTCTAGGGCAACTCTTTTCACTGCAGCTTGGATCTTCTTCGGTGCAAAGGCGTTTTTGCACGTGTTTTTCAACAGAGACGAAAAGGTTTTGATCTCTTTCTGAGCTGCACTTTTCACAGTTTCAATCTCATCATCCTTCTTCAAAGCTAACTTCTCCTGCAAATCATTGATTTTAGCCATATCTTCTTCTTGCTTGGTGAGTAACTTCTCTTGTAGTTCTATGATTTTGGTCGCATCAGCTATTTTTTCTTTCCTGAACATTCGGTTATCGTCAGCTGTTTCTGTGGCGGATTGTAACAATGGTCCACAATAATTGTTCTGTATCCAGCACATTGTTTTAACCATTCTGATAACCTTTCTCTAGGCACACTTCTCTGGTTCAGTTTATCAAATCGCACATCATCGTTGTGTTCAACTCCGATTTTACTTCTAATCTCCTTGAAAATACTGTCCGTCGCCATGTGTATCTGATTCACATATTCCGTAAGGAACTGGCCATTCTCAACCATAGCATCATCTACCATCTCAAAATGTTCACTCTGTAGCGGATAAGGCATCGTACACGTTGTACAGAAAATGTACAAACAATGTACATACAAATCTACAAAGCCAGAGAGATAATTCAACGCGCACACAGAACTACTGATAAGAGAGCTACAATTTAGCAACTAATGTAAAAGTGTAAATATGCCATAATGTGATACTTAGAATATTTTAATATCATAATACTTGTTTTTCATTGATCCAATGATATAGTTATTAGTTTAGTCCGATGATAGAAATTAAAAATGACTGAATTTAAAAGTTGTCATATCGTAGACATGATCTGAGTTCACAGCGGAATAATTTTGGAAAAAAATTCTACGGACTTTAACTTGGACGGACCTTAAACGGACGGACTTTATTAGAATGGACATTAAGATGAACGCTAGGATCTCCAGCGTTCAATTAATCATAATGAAATAATGTCCGTTCAAATAAAATTCGATAAGGTAGTGAAAATACTGGAGTACGGAGAATTTATTAATAATTGTAGGAGAATTGGAGAACTGACCTGTTTTTATAAATGGTGCTGCGGAGAGAATTGAGGTTTGAAAGCTGAATAACATGTATTATTGTGTCCCCGAACGTATAACCTCATAATACCGATAATTTTATTGTTGACTAAATATATGAATTGAATAATAATTCTTAAATGATGTGTAATGTGATACGCGCTGCTCATCAATGCGACATCAAAACGACTCATCAGGCGTTTGAAAATTTTTCTTCACGACACGAGGGAAATTATCAGCGCTCAGTGTTCACGACTTTTCGGGGGTATAGTTCCCGGAGAACATTATACGTACCAATCGAGTTCTCAAGAAATAGAAAAAGAAAAAGAAGTTGACCTTAGGTCTGTAAAGTTGGAATTATATATAGAAGAAGTGAATTGCCTTGAATTGTACTATTATAGGAGAATAGGGAAAAATATGCTGATATACGGAGAGTTTATTAATAATTGTAGGAGAATTGGAGAACTGACCTGTTTGTATAAATGGTGCTGCGGAGAGAATTGAGGCTTGAAGGCTTCATAACAAGTAGCATTTTGTTAACCGAACGTACCACGTAACACCAATAATTCAATTGTCAATCTTGATATTATTATGGTTGTTGACTAATTTATGAATTTAATAACGCAGATTGCCTGGAAGTAGGAAACAAGTTCGAAATTGTGCATAATTTTGCAAGGTAATAGTTTACTGGCTCCGTAATGCTTTGACGTAGTGTTTTGAAAATAGTATTATAGACTTATATAATAGTATTTTGAATTTAACTGTGAGCCAATATTCAAATGATATGTAGTGCCAATTCAATAAAAGTCATAATTTACCAACACAGAATGAGCATAATATGTTACAAAATGAGAGCGTCATTTGACAATACCTCATTGACGATCTGATGAGGTACATCGTAATCGTATACATAACAGCCATAGAGTAGCGAATCAGCGACAAATAAATTTCACAAATCATTCATCCTCAATGCACTCAACGAATATTATATGCCTTTAACAATAACACATCGTTCTGAATTCTTATCATATATTATATAATACTGAATAATATCCAATATCTGAATCATCTATCTAAATTATCGATCAAGGTTAAGTTCTTGTCAAGTTATAATTCTAAAGAATATTACAAGATTATTATATACAGTATTTAGCAAGCTGTAACTTGCGAAACCCTCGAGTTGTTAATATCTTTCTGACTAATCTGAAGATTCTTGTTACCAAACTGGTCCAAGCTGAGCACTGTCTTCTTAGAATGATCTCTAAATTCTCCGTTGTCGGTAAATCTTCTCCTCAATCCGCTCCAATTTGAGCAGGACTGTGGTAAGATCAAACGAGCATAATGAGTCAGTTTTCGCCAGAAATATGACGGAAGAGTCGCAAGAACGTTGTCGTAAAGAAGAGGGTTGATGATTGAGTTTATTGGTAAAACTATTGTGGCAAACGCTGGATACAGATCTTTCTCGTTTATTATATTCTTGTCTATGTAGTATATGACACAGACTACAATAAAGGGAAGCCAGCACAGAAAGTCTGTGAAGATGATGAAAGTTATCTTCCGCTGCAAGGGTCCAAATTTGTTCGTTATCCCGACTTTATTGGCAGAGTTTTGTGTAAGCAGATGAACTGAAAAGTAGCCAGCAGATATGATGAATAAACTGGCCAAGTTTATCATCAGGACAGCCCACGTGTAGTGTTTTTGCGGATCGTCCTCGTCCACAAAGAACTTGAAAGTGCACGAACCACTGCTGCCATAGAAACCAAGAATTTTAAAATTCAGTTGCTCGCCGTCTGCGTCACTGGACTTGCTGAACATTTCTTCGACCTTTCTCTTCACACTTGTTGAACTGTTTGCAATGTTTTCAATGTCATTAGCACCAAAATATTTTCGTAACAGTGGCCAAAATTCACCACTTTTTTTTGGACTCAGAAAAAAAGCTGCATTTTCTATGAAGTATCCATTATTAAAGTAGGCTTCGTGAAGATGGGGTTCTATCGGTATTATGGCTATTAGGAAAGCTAATGAGGTCAACACCAAACACCCTATTCCAAGCAAGAATTTAAATTTTGCCTGAGGTCTCTGTCCAGTGTTCAACCTTCTCATAACAAAAGCTCGGTAGACGCTTAAAGAAGTCATGGCAAAGACTGATAGCTCAGACCCAAAAGTTGATATAACTCCATAGAATTCACAAGAGGACGAAGTTAGCCACTTTCGCTCCTCTTTGCAAAAACCCTCACTCCTTGTGACATTCTCAATACTAATACAAACAAGATAGAGACCCACAAAGAAGTCTCCCAGAGCAATGAGGGTCACGAGAGCGGATATGCTGAGACTGACTGCAGTGCTGTGTTCACCCTTTAGCATACCAGTAAGATTCCTTAACATCATAAAACCGTTCATGAGGATCGCTGGGATGCCGATCAGCCATCCGAACACCCGCAGCACTGTAGATTGGAGAATTGTTTTGTTGTTTCCTTGAGGGCAGTCTTCATGGCATTCGTCATACTCGTTCGAACAGTGGATGATTCCATCGCAAAATTGAGACTTTTTGATTATCTCATGGGTAGCATTATCACAGGAGAAGTGATTATTGCAGTACTTTTCGTCTGAGTTATCCCCACAATCGTTTATGAGGTCACAGGTTTGGCTGTAAAGCACACACCTGCCGTTTTCACAAGGGAACATTTCTTTATTGATGAATTTTCCGTCTTCAATGGGTTCTACAAATGTCAAATCACCTTTCTTTGTAAGAGTTAGGGTTCGGTTGGGCATATCAGGACACGATGTCAAATAGTTAACCTTTCTAATGGGACAAACCACACTTTTATCACTGCATAAGTTCAGACAGGACGAATAAACATAGAATTCTCCGAAGAGGTATGCGCAGTCGTACAGTCGATCTGCTGGTCCTGATATCTCTATTGGTTGAGTTCCATAAGAGTCCTCAAGAATGTAATTCTTACACGTCACCTGACTATGGTTTCCTTCGTTCATAATGCCTGGGATACACGGATCAAGGTACTTCTGTAGGCGGTTTGGACTGAAAACATCGACGTTCACTTCCTTGTCTCTGGATAACAGGCAGAGTGAAGATTCTATAGGGCAGCCCTTCTTTTGCCTGCCGTCACACATGTCGTTAGGATCAATCAGAACCACGTCCTTGACGTCCTTTTCATCAGGGTTGCATATAAATGCTGCATTGCATGTGCTATCAGCATTTTTATATGAGAACTTGTCTACTTTCCTGTCTCCCTTTAAAACATACTCACAGACCTTCCAAATGTCCACATCCTCGTCCTCTCCATTATCACAGTCAACCACTCCGTCATTGACCCAAGATTTGAGTATTGGCATTTTCACAGGCTCCTGGCCATCTCCTGGTGTTTTCCTTACCCTCCGCAGGCAATTCACCTCGGTTTGGAGTTCCTTACAATGAACTTCGTCCTGACCGTTATCACAGTTGTCTACCCCATCACACATGAAATGTCTGTGCACCTTGCAGCTTGCTTCGGGTTCCTCGCACAGGTCGGGGATGTTATCTGTGCATAGTCCGAGGTTTTTACAGAGAACAACATCTGTCAGAGATATTGTGTGATTTGTTGGGGTGTGGTTGCAGGTGAACACGATGTCCCTGTTCGTGCAGTTTATCTGATCCCTCCCATCATAACAGACTCGTTCTGCTAGTCTGCTATCTTCTGGGTTGTAGTAACTGTACGCCCCACACATCTGGGCCGGGAAGAGGGGTATCAGGTCGCCACCCTTTCTACGGGGACATGAACCAACCTGGACTGAGGGACTGCAGGCTTCTGATTTGTTGTACAGGTCTATTTCGTCTATGCAGATGCTGCTTTCTTCATCCATTTTACATGTGTCAAGGGGGCTCCTCCATATCTTGGCTCCTTGCACGATGTCCTTGCTGCTTTCGCATGTTATTCCATAATCATGTTGACAATCTTCTGCCATTTCATCCTCGGTCGCAAGGCAGTCATTGACACCATCGCATTTGTTTTCCATCGGCACTGTAACACCACTAATCTCACAGTGAAACCATTTCTCACTGCCACAGTTTTTCGTCCTCAACTTCTCCGCTTCGATGTTATCACAAATGTCATAGTTTCCACTGCACTGGAATCTCTTCAACGGATACAGACCAGAGTCGTGCGTAACTGGACTGAGATCTCCCAGGACAGGAAACTTCTTGTTAGTGCAAATATAAGAACCACAAAGTGTGCCATTTATCCCGAATGCTTGGATTTGGGCCATGGCTCCCAGTGGAGCTGTTCCGCAGTACTGGTAGAATCCAGGGTCATTTTCGCATACTTCCGTGTATTGGGCCAAGTTAAGGTTATAGCTCGTCTCACCGTATGTCTGATTACTTGTCCAGCAGTGGATTTTTCTTTCAAACTTTTTGACTTCTGGGCTCAAGTTTTCTTTCGGTGTTTCGTTGTCCACTGCTTTCAGAAATCCGTTTCTTACCGTTACCGTGTAGGTGCGAGTCTCATCCACCCCTGAAATTTTTGTTAGTTTATAAATTACAAATGATATGGAACCATCATCAGACATTTTTTTAAATGCCATTATTTTTGACTATTTCTAATCGATAATTTTGAATAATTCTAATTAAGATATAACCTAAAGTTCCCAACGAGCTTTATCAGCTGTAACTTTAGGGGCACGTCAAGAATCAAGATGCTTACCTTCCACAGGATGGCAGAATATTAAGAGGAGGGCTTGGAGAAGAATACAATGACCGATTTTCAAGCTGTTTCTTGAAACCATTCGTTTCATCGCTGCGATCATTAGAACACCACAGACATACTCTTATAGCTGGGAGAATTATGTTATAGGGATTATTCGAAAAAGATTGCTGTGAAATGAAAACGCAATTTTCGAAATGACCTAGTCGATTTAAGCTATGAGCTAGCGACGTGACAAAGTAACTGTTCGTCCATTATATTCGCTATTCAGAGATTTAGTATCAGGTAGGGCTCGAGTATACCATATAGTTGAATATTAAGTTGAATTATATTGAAATATTCTGAACAAAGTAAATTTAGTACACATCCAACAAATCGAATTAGTCTAAAGTGAACAGGGACAAATTGGCGAGAGTGGGTAGTTACTTTGTAAGGAGCTCTTAATGCAGGATTTAACCATAATCATTATCAAAATTAAATAATATAATGATTTGGTATCCCTTGACATACTCTGACAAATGAGGATTGATTTCAAAGTTAGCATCAGCTCCTGACGAAGGCTATGTTATAATGATTGATGGGTCAGCTGATGCAAGTTATATAGTAGTTTCACTGCGTCTTAATATAGGAAACACTCACCACTGTCACGCGTCAGAATATTCAATATCTCCCCACCATAACTCTAAACTTTTAAACTGCATGAACAAAATATAAGTACAATGAAAATGAACTTCAAATTCAAATGTTCTAGCTGCTTTTTCATTAGTATATTATAATATATGAACGATTGCAACATGACACAATCGAATTCCAAAATTGAAAATTCTCATTGTTTTCCCTTAGAGTTAGATAATAAAGTAAAAAGTTTAAAAGATATCGATCCAATCGATTTTAACCTAAAAGCAAGCATCAACAATCACAAGTATATCGTTCTTATTTTCTTACATGCATACTTCTTAAAGATTTTATAAACGTTTTCTAGAAAATTTGCGAATTCTAAGGGTCCGGAAATATAGCAAGCTAATACATATTATACATTAAACTATAGTAACAAATCAGACAATTCTATAACCGATATTGGCGGGCGGTACTAAATGCTACATTAAGGGAGAAAAGAACGATTAATCGAGTTCAATATTAGAATATCAGTCACTGAATGACGGAATCAGAGAGAGGAAATTACATAATTTTTAAAAGGTGGTTGAACTAATCGAGGAAATTTTAGTAATACTATATAGTATGAAATTTACCTGACGCAGAAATTTATAGAATGCCGGCCGGACAACTGAATTGCTTATAACTGGACCCGGTGTAAAAGATAATTTAGTAACAATCAGACGATGAGGAATCTGATTAAATTGGCAGAGTGATAATATGGTCTGTAACTCTTGAGATACTCCGGGCAAATGTTACAGGTACTCTAGATGGTGGAGAATTAGAGCGTATGGTACATAGGGTACGCAATACCGCTAACAGTATACCTATCTTACCATGTTATGGTCTGTGTCAGTAGAATTATCCCAACATATTATTACTTATTAGCAAATAAAGTTGATAAAGTTCAAGATATACTATTACAACGTATAATTAAACGAGACCGGTTATAGGATCATACGTGCACTTTCTTTACAGTCGATCTTTGTGCTCAAAAACCTCGTTAAATTTGAGACTTGAAGTCGTGACTCCTGGTATAAGTGGCTTAATGATAATAAATTAATAAATTAATTTAACATTTAATTGTATTATACGCTTCGATATTAAAATTTACCCAATGAAGATGTACAGTCAAGACATTCAAGCGAGACTTGATATGGGAATATCAAGATTATGAACTTCTATATCAATTCAGAAATTATGGACAAATACTAGCAACTAGGAATAATGTTAAGTAACGATATATAGACTAGAAGCAACAGATAATAATAAAACAATATGTAGGTAAAATGAGTTCGCCGTTAAATTGGGAGAGGAGTTAGATTAACAAAATACCGGATTATGTTACAATAATAGACATAATTTGAAGGTCATGTTAATCCTCTAAAGCTCTAAATTCCGCTCTACTCTACCGCTTTACTCATAATGATGATCTTATTTTAAGAAAGAACCGATTAGTTTTACAGAAGATGAAACTGGCAGACTGCTTAGTCTGCTCTATAAAATACAGTGGACAGTGAAAACGCAAAAAAAAATTATATATTTCAGATATAACTGAGAGTCTGTCTCAAGTTCTCAAGTTAAATATCAATAGCTCAGTTAAATACGTGATAGAAGTCACATGACAACGAAATAACTATTTCGACCAGAATTACTAGTACCGGATAAAAATAAAATGTCATCACAAACAGAGCATAAGAACAACTCTATCTACCATAATCTTCTTTATCGCGCAATATTGCTGTAACCCAATGAGGTCAATAGCATTAAATAAAAGCAGCAGCCAGTTACCTGACACATATCAGAAGTAACATTCTCTACTGTACGTTTGTAGGTAACACAGTGCACACTAACTGAGGTGGTGTGGAGTATTATAATGATCAGGTGATGTGTGTGTAAACTGTAAAGCAGTGCAGACACACGTCCCATATTAATAGTATTGTTTGTAAGTTGTTGTACTCGTAAATTATGTTGTATTTTGAACTACGTTCAGTGTAGTGTGCGCGATATTTTTCGTTAAGGAAAATTCAAACAGAATTTTATATAAGAACAAAATTTGTTCTACATTTAATGTAAAAAAATGTAAAACTTAAGACATTAGACTGTGATAGTGACTACATACCGAATGTAATTTTATTTTAAAAACTTTAACATTAAAAAATAAGACACTATTGTACGGTAATGTTTAACTTATTCTTCACTAACACTAAATAATACCATTTAACAGCTAATGTGTTATTTACAACATGAAGTAATACTTACAGTATCATAAAGTAATACAAATGAATACAGAAGGATATCATATTTATAGTCAAGAGGTCCTCTCTCCCCTATTATATACTAATCAACAGACTACGTGGACGAATTCGTCATGATATTAGGAGAATTTCCATTGCCAGACCTTGTAACAATTATAATTTCTCTTGCAAAATATGTACAAGTGGCATGAAAGTCTTCTCGTTTCGACCACATAATTGTATAAATATAATAAGCTGGAACAGCTGCTGACACAGTGCGTTCTGAAAATGAGGAATTAAAAGTATGATTTTAGTGGAGGAATAAATTAAACTGTTTGATCAGATCAGGTTGAGAAACTGTGACAACGCTTGTTGTCTGTTTGTATGTCTGTTTGTGTGTCTGTTTGTGTGTCTGTTTGTATGTCTGTTTGTATGTCTGTTTGTATGTATGTTTGTATGTCTGTTTGTGTGTATGTTTGTATGTTTATTTGTATGTCTGTTTGTGTGTCTATTTGTGTGTATGTTTGTATGTCTGTTTGTGTGTCTGTTTGTGTGTCTGTTTGTGCTGTGTGGTCGTGAGGATGATCGTAGTCAAGCGCTAGCTCGTAATTCAAGATCATGAGTCAGAATGGACAGCAAACAAAATATACCTGCACTGTCAAACATACTTAATATTTAAAAGATACTGATAGTGCCATTTTAATATACTGATTGTACTTATTTTCGTGATAGTTATAGGTGTTGTGACTTGACACACCTTGACCTTGGCCATATATTTGATATTGTAAACTTAATTACTCTGATCAAAACGTTGAATCGCCGACTAGTGCCCACAGTCGATATAAAATTGCAGGTCTAAGTTTAGTATTAGGCCAGCTGGTGGTGTATGCTGGTAGCTAAGTAGCTAACGCAGTGGTAAAATTTATCAAAGTCAAGATATCATTACGAATTGATGGCCCATTTTGTGTGTCACTAAAATTTAAACCCTGTGTGTCTGTTCCAGGACAGTTTCAAGTACTACCAGAAGCAGAAGAGCGACAAATGGAAGACCAAGCTGGCGACCACGATGAGCATTACAGGACACTGGATGTTCATGGACAAGAACACGGGATTGTGGCAGTTACAGGCGCACAACACCCCCTCTCTTCTCAGGTATGTGTTATTCATATGAGTCTAGACTCTAGAGGTGCACTAATAGTTAATACACTAATAAAACAAGTATTTTAATAAAACAAGTATTTTAATAAAACAAGTATTTTAATAAAACAAAAGGGTTTCAGAGGATATTAGGCAGCATTTTAAGAGAACTGTCAATTGTGCAAACCCGTGTAACTGTAACTTCCCACCCTTCTGTCAATAAGTGTTAAGGCTAACGTGTTTAATTTAACGGTTAATCAAACATAAAATTTTGATGTTCAAATTAGCATAATTTTTCCTGGAAGTCTGGACTCTTATTTGTGGGCTTCTTTGTTGTCACAGTAATTATCACGGCCCAAAATACTGTGCGAATATATTTTATGCGCTGAAACGGATCTTAGCACGTAGTATGACGACAGGATTAACTTGACTATTGGTGTAGTGGGAGGTGTGGTAGATTTTCTAACTAATGGGAATTAAATTTACATCGCCTTCCGAACGGTATTAAAGACCGTGAAATGTGTCCTCTGGATAAAGTAAAAGTACATTTTAATTTTAGTAGGAATGCTAATTTAAACTTGACACGTCAACTTTATTTCATTTTTCCTAGAAGCTCATGTATCTCTTATGTTAATCAATAATCATGTAGTAGATGATGAAGAATTATCATTATGGTCTGGGGCCTGGGCAAGTTTTTGAGTAATAAATTATGATCATGAATTAACCAGTAATCGACAGGAATTCCCGGTACCGGGAATCCCGGTACCGGGATTGGAAATTTTGAGCCATCCCGGTCCCGGTTCCGGTCCCGGTCAATTCACATTTTTCATCCCAGTCCCGGTCCCGGTTCCAGTCAGGCCCGGTAAATTGATAATCTCAGTCCCGGTCCCGGTCCCGGTCAAGTCACATTTTAAATCCCGGTCCCGGTCCCGGTCAGGCCTGAAATCATGTCCGGTCACCTCTTGAACGTTAGGATATACTAATAATTATTGGAAATTCCGACATTGAACCAATAACTCTTTTGCAACGCCAAAATAGCTAGCAACATGAAATGCAATTTTACCTTGGTCAAACTCAAAATAGCTTGCAGATGCTTTGCAACTTATCAAATTTCTAGGCATGTTCCACTATCCTGTTTTAAACTTGCCCAGGCCCCAGACCATAATGATAATTCTTCATCATCTACTACATGATTAACATCAGAGATACATGAGCTTCTAGGAAAAATGAAATAAAGTTGACGTGTTAAGTTTAAATTAGCGTTCCTACTAAAATGTACTTTTACTTTATCCAGAGGACACATTTTCCCGGTCACCTCCTGCTAACTTTGTACCCGATGAAAATTCAAGCCTAATAATAAATCCCTAGAATGGTGGTTTATATTGCAACTTGTCTTTGATTACAGTGTTAAAACGTTTATTCAATTTTCATTGAATAGAAAATAAGGTGACCATGGTTTGAACTGTAGTGGTCTCAGCAAAAAAAGTGAATATTAATTGATGTGGAAAAATACTGCCCTCAAGAAATTTTGAAAGCATAAACATAAAGGCATAATAATTTAAGATAAAAAATGGCTCTTTAACCAATAACTTTATACCAAAAAGTAAAGCTAAGACTGCACCAGGCCACCGTTGACTAAAACGCATTTCAACCACTGTTGTGTATTACCATAGACGAGCTCAGACCGCTATTAAATTCGCGGCTCGAAAATGAATTTGTTTAATCTGAAATGCTATTTAAATATCAGTCTGGTGAGTTGTGTCACGACACCAACGATTCTCCCTCTCACTAAGTAGCTCTTCACAGGCTTAAATCTACGCTAACTTGGAGGACAAAAATATCTCGCCAATTTTGACAAAATTATGTCGCGTTACGCCGATGGTTGCCTTTGATAACTCACTTAGCCATCAAATACGATAGATAAATAATTCATATGAGAACAGGTTAATGATTTAAGTGAGGCTTTTATCATTCTCAGAAAGACAGAGCAAAGAACCGTTGCATTAACCATTACCAATCTGCAAATTGCAACACCGGATGTTATTTGACACTTTGAGCTCGAGCTTCAAGTGTCTAGCAGTCTGTATTTCCATGTCAACGAGAAATGAAGTCTGCGATCAAGATTATTCCCTCCCACGAAATTGACAATAATTTCAATGAAGTTGAACCACCGATCGCGATCTTTTGCTACCCAGACATTATAGTCAAGTTGAGTTTAACCGATGCTGACATTAAGAATGATCCCTCCCACAAAAGTGACGGTTAACTCCAATGAACTAGAGGCTCCCAGATACCAGAACTCAGAGATTCGTGGGAGTTCCTTCCCTCGAGTTCTTTGAGTTCAAAGCTCTTTGACGTCGGTTCATTTGAGTTTTCGTGTCTTTGTACAAGTAATTTTGTCTATTAAAATGCTAAAATTGCACGTCTATTAAATCATGATTCTTCAAAATTTTTAAGATTTGTTGTAAAAGTGCCTTTTTACAGTTCACCTGAAAGTCAAAATCCCCTATGAGGGAAAGAGGGAGATAGGGGGATTACCAATTAGTTAAACCAAAATGAGAAAACAGGAAAACTCCTCACAAATTCCTGGATCTGGAAGTAAGATCAATGCAACAGTACAAAACAGTAACAGCTAAAGGAATTATAGGAACTAGCAGGAACCCGTCTAACCCTAAAGTGGTGTCAAGACTCGAGAGACTAAAATAATTATTACCTATTTAATTCGCGTTTTTGACACCACTTGAGAGTCCAAATTTTGGGCACTAAAATTATTATTCCTTGGCCAATTTTTTATTTTTTCATGCTGATTTGAAGGCCATTAAAGCATTTGACCCAGTCAAAAAAGTTTCAGTTGTATATGTTTTACGGTTTTTGCGGAAAGTCGCGTTAAAGTTGATGCCGTGGTGTCAGTAAAATGGCACGGATATATACACATATATATATATATCGTCTCGCTTTATATATAGTAAGATAAATAGTACATCTAAGGACTAAGATCAGTGTCATAGCGAAATAAATGAATAAAGAATGGAACATAACATTTCAGTATAACAATGTGTTAGTTAATAAAAAATAAAAGATATATTTGTTGTTCAAGAAGCATATCGGTACTATTGATGCTTTTCATACAAATAAGTTAAACCAAATTCTTTATGTCATGTATCCTGGGTTTGGACAGGATATGCCCGCTTAAAATGCTTCTATCGCGTTACATTACATAATTCTGAAACTTATACAATAAATTATTTACAATAAATTATGCAATATCACAACATTACAATCAACAAAATAAATTTAATCGCAGAATCTCAAATACAAACAATCGTAAATTAAACACAGTATAATTTACAAAAAACAAATTAAACAAGCAATAAATGAATATACGAATTCGCATCCACTGACAACTTACTCCTTCATAAAATTAATTTTTGACAATAATTTTTTAGACTGTAATATAATGGTAACTAATTTATAAGTCACAATTAATAATAAATCAATACAAATTAATCACAATTCACAAATACTGCAATAATTAATAGATATAAGGTAACTTTATAACTGAAAAACGATATATTATGTCGATACAAATTACAAAATAATATTAGGTGATTGAAAACTTTCAATAAATTCATCATAAATTATATATTTTAAACTTGACGGCAACGGGGACATTGAAAATTGACCAAAAACCGACCCTTCTTCCTGACTAATTTCAGCTCGCAAATGGAGTTGAAACCTCACGATTTTTAGCAGGGTTGTAGAAAAAAGACAGAAATAAGAGATAGTATTCTTAGAATTTTGATTAATAGGCTTTAGATTTTTTATAATTGACGTCGGAAGTGAGGTACAATAAACGTTAGAACAATGGCGTTATTTTAGCAAAGGTTTACTGCGTCGTTGCTTAGCAATATAAAAAAATTGTACGTGCGCGAGCAACCGCAGATTAACAACGCGCGTTGCCATGCTTTATGATACGTCATGACTAACTCACATTTATACTCAAGATTATTACTATTCATAACTTTGGTTGTGATTGATATTTTTGATGCGGTAAAAAGTATCGTTTAGGAAATCCAAATACTTACAACTTTGTCGTTATTGTCAAATAAAATCCGTACTTTCTACAATACAGAGCTTAGAGCTAAATGCTTAAATGGTGAAGAGATTAGATAAATCTAAACATAAATGATTTTTTTAAATTCCTCGAACAAAGCTTTCGACTAGCGGGTTTCTAGTCAGGTATACCGTAAACGGATTAAACGGATTAAACGAATTAAACGGATTAAACGATTCAAAAGTCAAATTCCTTGGTAATGTCTGACCCATTATAAAAAGTAAATTTACCCAAAAGGTAAAAAGTATTTATATACAAGAGAATGAGGATAAAAATTATAATAAACAAAGAAATAATCCCCGCAAATCTTCAGAATGAGATTTATTTTACAGGTATAATACAGGGGGGCCAAACGTCATTAACCGAATCACCGAAAAAACTCCGTCATAATATTAAATACTATGTTGACAGCAGTTTACTGATGGTTACGAGCATTTAAGTTGATCACCGTTGGATTGATTAAAGGATTAACTTGATCGAGTCGGGTGTCGTTTCTAACACTGACAACACTGAATGAAGGATGCCAAACCCAAAAAAGGCTCGATGATAATAATATTATATGAAAATCAAGTCTCGATTCTGAGCATGTCAACCTTTCGAACCTTTCCTGAGCATGTGACAAGTTAACAACTGAAAACATTTTAATTATTCCTAGAGAGTGAAAACCATATTCTACCCGAGAAAATTGAAATTCAACTCAACGAATTTTGATACTGGCAATTCCAAGATATCGGAGTTACCATATAACTAATAAGCCTCGATGTTAAATCAGCGTTTGATTCAGAGCATCTCAAATCGAACCTTTATATTTTAAACACTCCGTTATTATGTAAACACTTAAATTGTTTCGTGCTGAGGAAGTAAACACCAAATCTGACAAAACTACATAACATAATTATAAAATCAACCGAGACTAGCTTGAGATAATGAGATAACCACATAACCATGGATAAAGTAGGTAACATCCAGACTGAGTAGTGAGAAGGTAATATAGTACAGTATAACAGTAGGTAGCATCCAGTGAACCATGTGCGCTGAGCCTCGCTAATACACTAATAAATAGTCCTACTATCTAGCCACGTGCTGTCCCCTGGCTTCTCAGCTACTAAGTTAATTAGTCTTCTGATCACATGGTGTTTAACCTTGTGCTTTTTATTAATCTTCAGGGACGTTACTTCTACTATTTAATTAATCTAAGGGACATTTTGTTAGTGGTACCAAGCTACAGGCACTATGGGTTCCAAGATATTCAACTGATCATAGTATCATGATGTTCTAATTTCTCATTTACTATAGTACCTTACTCGGGAATATTATGACTGGGATAAAGTGGTGGGTTTTGGAACTTTCCGCCATATTTTTCCCGGTCATTAATTTTCCCAGTCATAAATTAACCCGCTATAATATTCCCGAGTAAGGTAGTCATATCAGTATCACTATAATAATAATATCAACAAGTCTAATTCAAACATTAGTTTTGTCAAATTTTGTACAGTCCCCAATTTCTAGAAACATTCTACCTGATGAAACCCCGTCGGCTCATGATTAGTATTTAGTTGTTTACCTTATCTTTCCCGTACATAAAGGAGTCTTTGTCAATATTATGGATATTTCCAGTGTTTCTATTAACAAGTATCTCTCGTGAACTAATTAAAGATTGGATCTAAGTATATTTTATAGAAGGTTCGGCTGGCAAGTTTACTATAAAAATATCAAATGATGACTAAGGCCAAGGATCATTCATTTTCATAAATATTAGAACTGGAGTTTCACAGTATGACCCCGAAAAAGTAATCGGTTGGCAGAACACATTGAAAAATTCAAAGGTAGCTAGCTCCTGGGGGCTGACTGTATTTTAGCTATGTTTTGTGACAATACAAGACAGGCCACTCGAAATCTAATGAAAGCTATACTACTGAGGGCTTTTAAACTTTACAATTTTATATATGGAATATGGCAACTTTGATTTAAAGAGTAGCATTCTACCACTAACAGGAACCTTTTATATAATAAAAAAGAAAGTTGCTCGCCGAAACCACCGCAAATGGAGCCTTTAATTCGTTAATCGTATTGAATCGCAATTATACTATTTTTGTGAGCGACTATCAAGATCGAGAAGAATCCAGAAAGATTTTTTCTCCTATAAAATTTTATAGTAAGTTCGATAACTCATGTAGTGAGTACTGAAATTTTAATTCTGATGGTCCAAATGTGGAAAACTAGATCATCTCAAAATCTATTCATCTCAAATCTATTCAGAAAAAATCACTTGATAATAATAAATTGAAATTGAATAACACCGCTTTTAAGATAAAAGTTATACTCAGTTAAACTAGTCATCCCAGAAAATAGCATGAATACTAAGTTAAGAATAGTAACTTATGCTTGAAAATATATCGGCAATACTAAAGCCAGAAAATGGTACTTAAACATATTATTATGCAAAGATCAAACACTAGATATGACCAAAATAGTTATCGATATAGTTTTTCAAGTTCTATTATATCGTAATAATGTAGGAATCATTGAAAGATTTATCGATATATTACACAGTCATTAGATACAGTGAATACACCACCAACAAGGTGCGATGAATTGGTCCGTCGTTAACAGGATAATTCTGTATTAATCTAGAGATCTTTGACAAATTTGTATCATCAAGCCTAAGTGCAAGTGGTCGATGGTATAACTTACTGAATACTTGAATACGCTAGTAAAGCGAACCCAGGTTCGTACTTTTCTCTTTAGGCACACCACCGTCTCAACACGAAGGGACAGAACTTTGGCCCAATGACTTGAAAAAACTATTCAAGCGAGACATGAAATTTTATGAAAATTAAATTCAGAATTTATGGAATAATTTTTATCAAAAGTTAGAAGTTAAATTAAAATGTTTTATGGAACTTCTAAAACATTCAATAATTGACAATGTTTTCTCTGGGTAAGGTAGTTCGTTCCATATCATTTAATCCACTAAACATAAACACTGCACTGCATGATCTATGTATCTGCGGAATATTACGCTAAGTGCAACAACATAGATTTATTACAGGCATCTGGATGAGGTTACGAAAAGAAGCACAGACATTTCACCTAATGTACTCGATAAGATTCGCTCCGAACTAAAACTTAAAACCCTAACCTCTCTGAACTTATACTACGATTTCCTGCCCTATAAGACAGCTGAGTTGACATGGGATGCTAAACATCGCTATAACGAGGTAACTGTTATTCACGTGTCATCCTATCTGATGCACGTGGTGGTGAACTATCAAATGTCTATTTATAATAGCTAATAATGATAACTCTATATGACAGTTTTATCTCCTTTTGACCCACGAGAGGATTACATTGTACCATGAAGATACTGTGTCAATCTCTACAATATAAGAGTGCCGGAAATATCGGGATGGGGCCGGAGTCTGGGGAGGGAATCTATCATATTTTAAAACAAATCATTAAGACATGGCAGCATAGTGGCTATATAGTTTGAAACGTGTCCGACGAGCTTGACAGCCTGCAGTTCGCGATGGCTCATGTGATATTAATGTCAAGATTAGACTCAAATGATTGTCATGTGACAGAAGTTACGAAAATTGTATTGCTTTTACCCGGCTATATTGTGTGGGCACGCTGTATTTAAGGAGCAATTTCGTGAACGTAATGACATTTAAAACTTTAAAAATACTGGTTAAAAATATTCCTCTTTTGGGATCTCAGGTGGACATTCCAATTTTCAAGAGATTACAGAATAATAACGTGTATAACATAAGTATAACCTCCACAGGAAGGTGTGTATTGCTATTGTATGGGGCCAGGAGTTTGGTACAAACAGATGCTACAGTGTCTGAACTGCAGACAGTGGTTTCACCAGGTTAGTGTCACGCGAACAGAACAAATATCACGCAGAAAGAATAAGTATCACGCACAAGCCACAAGTTCAAACTTGTAAAGTTACAATGGAGTGATTTGGGGTTGGTGATTATATTGGAAATTTCGCCCTCTTTTTACTGATATTATGATTGAGACTTTATACATAATAACTAGTAGTAACCCGTATAACCCTAAAATGATGTCAAGACTCAGGAGACTAAAATAATTATTACCTATTTAATTCGCGTTTTTGACACCACTTGGGGGTCCAAATTTTGGGCTCTAAAATATAGAGTAAGATTAGACATTAGTTTTTTAGCTTTTTTAACCTCTTTTTGATTTTTCTGATTACCATCTTAAAGTAAACAACGGATACATCCAGCTACCAACTACGAGCTTAATATGTTCAAGATTAATAATTTATCTAAGTAGAGTACTTTGTCAGAAAATAAACATGCAGATCAGTAATAATATCATTATGAAGTATGATTCTAAAATATGTTCATTATCATGTGCCTCGATCACAATCTACCAACTTCAAATCTTTATACTATCTGACACAATAGATTTGGAAAACTATTGTTATAATATTATACTTCGTGTTAAAGGACCAGTTAACTGAAAAATTTGTAGTCTCCAATTTGGCTAAGATTTAAATCAGCTGTGACAAACTGGTAAAGAATCGTATCGCCGAAAGAACCAATTCTCTAGCGTACGTGTAACGCGTGTTATTGCAATAATAAGCTGTGGCGTCGTGACGTCATAAAGTCCCTCAGTGCGCGCTTGCATAGCGTAATACATTGAAAATGTTTATCATCGTCAATAAAACACGTGTAACTCACTCAAATTTTAGAATTATGACTATTACCCTAGTTCTCCAAAATCCTTATAGTTTTGGCTATCATCCTAACTAAAGGAATAGCTGATTGTATGTACAGTGCTCACGTCATGATTTTAAACAGTGACATAATTTCTTGAACAGTGGCGGGTGAATGTACGGTTAGAAAGTTTCTGCTATTACAACTTATGTCATATAATGTGATAATTTTGGATTGTTTTCATTGCTTAATTACACAAGCAAGGAGACTGTACCGATTATTTTTCCCCAGTCCATGAAAATCTAACGAATTTAGAAAGGATCTAGATAAGTAGGAGTTTGTTCAATTCCGAGAGCAATTATATTTATATCATAGCGGAATTTCTAACTTTAATCCACATGTGTCAGCCAGTACAGGAGACAAGAAGTCTGGCTACTTTACGGCCGTTCCTCTGGGACCATTAGTAGAAGTAGCTTCTATCAGAACAGTGCCGTGGGAACAGAATTCCCGCCAAAATACCCGGTCTACCAAATAGTAATACTGATTGGTGTGTACGGTGTGCGGTGTGTTTTGAATTAGACTTACGGCTTACCTAGTTGTTATCCTAATTGCATTATCATCGGTACATAACATAAATAAACTACTGGTAAGTTTAAATACCAAGTGCAAACGTGTTCAGTCAATCGACCCACTGAACAACTATAGAATTTCCAAGACCCTATTATTCTCTGGCCATATATTACGGCACGATCGATTGTTAGATGGCTAAACCAACGTAAACGACCAACGTTAATCTATACAATTCCAAAACTATGAGCTAGCACTTTAATCTAAAAATACACTTTTTATATTACTCCTGATTTTTACATTTCACGTTAAACATTGTCGCCACAGGTTGATCATGGACACTAACAGCTTAATTTGAGATAAATGACTTATGAGTTTCTCTAAAGTTAACTCCAAAGTTGTGTAGTCCAGTCATTTATGGACATTTATGGAAATGAACCTGCAAATGTTCAAATACTCACGAAACTTTGCACAGACCTTCCTGAAGGTATGAATAAACGATTTTCGTTTTTTGACCGTGGAGAAAACCCAGGAGGGCCACGCCCATATTGACCCAATAACGTAACCGATCCCTTGCTTCTGAAGGTCGTAGAGACTTCTAAATAGGCTTAAACCAAGCGGCATATGCATGTTTATATAGGAGTTACTGAGCAACATACATACATGTTACATGGTAAGGTCTCCTCCTAGTCGTTGGAGTGGCCTGCATCACACACATCGCGTTGGCGGCGTAACATATGTCTCCACTGTACTTGATTGGTAGCCAAAGCTTCTGTTGTGTCGTTGTCGATGTTTTCAACACCTGTAAACTTAGCAGCATCTTCGAGTACGCAGGACTTCCAGTTCTTACGGGGTCTGCCCCTTGACCTCTTTCCATAATTTGGCTTCCAGTTTAACAGAAACCTCGGTAGTCTAGAGTCTGGCATTCTAACTACATGTCCATACCAACGTAGCCTGGCAGCACTGATGAAAGTCTCAACTGACTTGATGCCAGCCCTCCTAAGAACTTCGTCGTTGGTCACATGAAAGAACCATTTAATCCTAAGGATCCTTCTCAAGGAGGTTTGATGGAAAACCTCGAAGCGTTTCATCTGCTTTTTGGTGGTGTTCCAGACTTCAGCTCCATACAACAAGATGGTGAGGACAGCAGCCCTATAGATCCTGATCTTGGTTGGAGTCTTTATAGTTCTGCTATTCCAAATGTTCCAGAGCTGATGAAAGGCGCCATTAGCCTTCTGGATACGGACATCCAGGTCTCTGTTGATTGTCCCATCCCCACTGATAGTTGCACCCAGGTAGACAAAGTTGCTAACCTGCTCGACGGGTTCACCCTCAACCGACAGCTCAATACAATCATCCTTGATGAAAGGTCGCTGGGAGGCGCACTTGCTTACAGCCATGCATTGGGTCTTCTTTGCATTTATTCTGAGCCCAGCGTAGGAGCTGTAATGAACTAATAGATCAGTTGATTCCTGTAGGCCTTCCCCTGAGTTGTCCATAATAGCCATGTCATCAGCATAATCGGTGTCCAGAATGACCTTTTCCTCGACCGTCTTCATCTCTTTCTGCAGCACTGCGCCTTGACTGATGATCTTGTTGGTCTCAGCCAGAAATGCAGAAAAGTTTAGGCAGAAATTAAAGACAGGAGGTGCTTGAATGTCACCCTGACCTGTGCCTGAGTTAACATCAAACCAGTCTGTCAGCTCCCCATTAACCCTCACGGCACTCATGGTACCCCCAAAAAATGACTGAAATATTCTGACATATTTTTCAGGCAGCCCATAGTGTCTCATACTGCACCAAATAAAGTCCCTTCTGATAGAATCGAACGCTGCCTTGAAATCCACAAAATTAATGTAAAGAGGAATGTTAAACTCAAGACAGTTATGAATAATAGTTCGGAGAGAATAAATCTGATCAATACATGAGCGGTTCTGTCTAAATCCGCACTGATTTTCCCTGAGGAGACACTCCATACCAGCATGTAACCGCTGAGCAACACATGGCCTAAAATCCTTACTTTTCGAGAAATTTGCCAAAAACCATTTTGGGCGTGGTGCTGAGCCCATTTTCGATAGGATCGTGATAGAGTCTTTAGACAGGGTGCAAAAGAACCGCAATTAGCATATTAATATATGACTTACGAACAAACATATGCTTTAAAGTGCTTACTTTTTCAGTTATTGGCGAAAAACTGATTTTCGGTTCCAGAAATCATGCTAAAATATGGGCATCTCGTAAATTAAGCTATGAAGGCCCTACAGATTTTTGAATGAGTGCAAATTGTGCAGAATGGCCATGTTTATATACAACTTATGAAGCAACATGTACCCTAAAATACTTATTTTTCGAGTTATTTGGGGGAGAAACATTGTATTATTAGTAAGGGGAAAAGTGGTCGATTTAAAGGTTCCGTTGGATTTGAATGTTCACAAGGATTTCTCAACGGAATATGGTAGTTAGGACCCCTACGAACATAATTAGACTTGTTGCCAATTTTGTATCTCAACAGAAACACCACTTTTACCACTTTTTACCACCTCTGTACCACCTTTCTGGTTTGCCAAATATCTTTAGTTGTGAACATCGTAGAAGGCTGCAAATTAACCTAGAATGTTTATCTTATCAAGGAGTAAAACTTTTGTATTAAAAATTTTTACATTGGACAATCAACTAATTGGATAATTACCAATTAGTTAATCACCAAAAAAAGTGAAAATTTTTTATTGGCTCAAAATGATTGAAATAGTTTGAAACACGGAGAAATGTAGTTTTTAGAAAAACTTCAAAAATTTTTCACTTAAAAATTTTTTTCGAGACTTAGAAAAAAAGTTTGAAAATTTGAAAATATTTTTTTCCGCCAAAGGTGATCGAATTGCATGAAACGTGAATAAAAATGCTTTGCAGTAAAACTTCGAAGATTTTTAGATTGGGGAATTCTAAAATCATCAATATTTGAAGTTGGAGTTCAGTAAATCTCGACATATTTTAGTAATTAGGAATAGCTTATATATTAGCGGAAAGGGCTGAACCTGAAAAAGGTTAACCACACAATATTAGAGTTTCATAACTAATTACAATACAGCTTTATCAAATTCCACATAAAGAAACAGCACAAAAGGACCATTTAAGATCGAACCGATTTTACCTGCTGTTCTATCATTTTATTGATTTCAATGATCAAAACCTCTGTACTGTCAATCTTGCCAATCTATACCGGGTATCTGAATGTACCGGACCTTTTATTTACCTCTATAATTAGACCCAGTTGTGCAAGAAATCCGATTTCTCACAGGGGTTTCTTTTAACTGTGCACTTTTTGTCACTCTCGCAAGAGGCCCGGTATTATAGGGGGGTATAGGAAGCGTAAATATACCTTCCATCATCCACTGTGGCTTTTTTGTATTGTGAATGCGCATGCCGCTTCGTTTGCTATGCCAGATACCTCAAATAACCCCCATATCTCATTGCCAGGGTCGGGATAGAGCTGGAGATAGCATCGAGAGGTTGCTTGCTAGAAATAGCTAGATTTAGAGTAAACTGGTGGTAGCTGGGTGGTGCTAGCATGGATGTAGCAGAACGTAGCTACACGGGGTTTCATTGGAGTTGGTTATTT